ATTGTTGAACGCAAATAATTTTTTATCAATTTTAATCTGGAGAAAGATCTTTCTCCTTCTGCATTTGATCCAAGAATCGACAAATATATTCTTAATGCAATGTGAACGTTAGGAAAAGTATTCACATGTTTGTCTTTAATTTGATCCTTCAACATTTCTTTTGCAGATTTATGTTCATACAAATTTGAAAATAGTAAAAATTCATCTACAAAGTTTTCCTCTAAATCGGATGAGCAAATTTTCACCAAATTTTGCGCTTTTAGTTTAATCTCAGATTCTGACAAATTTTTGTGAACAGGAAAACCGAAATTATCGTACAAATCACTGTAAGCTTTACGCCTTTTAGTCATTTCTGAAATTAATACATGTAAAATGGCGTAATACGTTTCCATACGAACAAAATTTTAGCATATATATTGAAAAGAGGGGAGGAGGGGAGGGCCCATAAACGGCTGTGCCTAGGGCCTACGAAAGGTATAATCCGGCTCTGCCTACTTGAAATAGTTATATCTCGTAACCATAGCCACCACCACGGCTCCAGACGAATGGCTAGGGGGTTCTTACTTTAGACAAACTGTACTTAATCTTGCTACCGCCTATATTCAACACCCCCGAGATAGGTGGTGTTGCTATATTACACACACTACTGAAAAAAGAGATAGAAAGAACTCTCTTAAATTCTGTTTTTTTTTCTTCTTCTTTTTTTAGAATTTATGAATATTAAATGTTATATTTAAACATCTAAACTAATTTGTTTATGTGCTATTACGAAATTAGTAAATATTTGCTTTTTAAAATTACTAATTAATTGGAGGAATCAATTTATTATTTAATTAATCTAATCAATTGATTTTAACGTCTGGAAATTATTTGATGAACAAGAAGAGTCTAAAATGCATTGTAACTACATACTACGTGGAAAAAATAACTATAATTTATTGAGCATATATCCCAGGTTAAGAGTTTTTTTTTTTTTTAAATTTAAGCATGATGTTTCCATTGATGTCCATGGTGCTCATGATGATGAGCATGGTGAGGTTGTTGGTGATGATGATGATGAGCATGGTGAGGTTCTTGGTGTTGATGATGATGAGCATGGTGAGGTTGTTGGTGATGATGATGTTGAGCATGGTGAGGTTCTTGATGGTGATGATGATGAGGTTCTTGATGGTGATGGTGAGAAGCATGAGAATGAAGTTTGACGTGAGCTGGATCCTGATTGGCTGTTCCGGGTTCATTGGTCTTGACTTCTGCTCTGAATCCTCCCTTATCCGCTACATAGTGAACTTCTCGGTGGATTCCGTGATGGTCAACGTATCCGTAGCTGCCCTTCACTCCTCCGTGTCCATCGCCTTCCTCGTGTCTGTGGTGGGATCCGTCTTTGCCTTTCGCAACATATCCGAACTTGTAGGGGTGAGCATGATGATGCTAGGCGAGACAGAACAATTTAGTTTTTACCAATCTGTTTTTCGAATCATCAGAGAAAATTAAAAACACCTTAAGAGGATACCACGTTAGAAAATTTTCGTGACAAATTACCCTGCATAAGTAATTTAAAGTTTGGAGAAAAATAGTATTATTTTATTTACATCACACTAGAGCTACATGCAGGCGACTCTCGATTTCACATATAGGAGTAAAACTCTATTTAAAACTGGATTTAATGCATGCCATCAAAAAGTATGACATGCCATCACAATTTTTGATCCTCTGAAATAGCTCCTCCGCTTTTAGTAATCCGACGATTAAGTAGCAAAGTGGAACACTTTATGGTGGAATAGCTTAACATGGATCGATACTGCACGCCCTTGGTCCCTTCGCAGTCTGATCAATGGAGTGACTACTGCCAGTGATTCGGTTATCAACTAGGAACCGTGTCTTCCGATCAATCCACTGTGAAGTTTAACTGAACCATGAGGCTTTAAATGCTGATAGAAATGTCTTAAAATTATCAAAATACAAACAAATTATAACAAGGGATAAACTCTCCACTACGTAATCCTGCTCTAATTTGTTTGCATTTGTTTGTATTTGATTCAAACAAATTATAACAAGGGATAAACTATCCACTGCGTAATCCTGCTCTAATTTGTTTGTATTTGATACAAACAAATTATAAAAAGGGATAAACTATCCACTGCGTATTCCTGCTCTAATTTGTTTGTATTTGATTCAAACAAATTATAACAAGGGATAAACTATCCACTGCGTAATCCAGCTCTAATTTGTTTGTATTTGATACAAACAAATTATAAAAAGGGATAAACTGTCCACTGCGTATTCCTGCTCTATTTGTTTGCATTTTGATATTTTCAAAGTATTTCTATCAGCAATGGGATACCTGCAAGTGACGTAGTGTGGGTATCTTGATCCTGATTGGTCGTTTACGTTACGTGGTTTCATTACGTTACGTTACGTGATTTTCCTTACATTAGCATCTGTTCTTTCCGTTCTATTTCGAGTAACTTAAGCCCGACAAGTATCAGTTCTCTTGAGTGAGACATTCTGTATTCTTACACAAAGATTCTTACATATTAAGTTTATTTATTGCACCAATTCCATAAGAAACCAGTTATATCTTCGCTATTTGGAAATTATAAAATATATTTGTTTTTACTATACAATTTAGTTAAAAGAAGCTAAATAATCAATATAAGTTCAACAATATTTTTTTAAATATTAATAATAATAATAATAATTTCCATTCGTTATTCCTGAATTCATCAAGATCTATAATCTACAAAATATTTCTGCTCATATATCTGCATTTTTACTTATAGTAAAGCATATTGAATCATATGCTACAGTTTTAAAAAGATGGCTTACGTTAATTGTAAATGCTTGTTTTGACTTCGCTGGCGAAGTTAAAATGATATTCCACTACGTTAGCGCTTTTGACTTACGAATTTTTGAAAAATCTCTTATTTTCACTTACGAGAGTTTGATATTTTTTCATGGACGCATGCGCATTTTCCCTGATCTGAGACATGCGCAATTACTTAAAATCTTACGTACGGGAGGGTGCAGAAGCTCACGTAAATTTGGTAAATCTCCCGAATGTTGATTTTACTCTTTGTGTACTATATAGTATAAGAGTTTTTTTCCCATTAACTGTTCTTATATAGTTGATTTAGAGAGGAAGCAAAACAGTTAGAAAACTTAATCTTACATTCCGAAAAGTAAATAAAAGAGAGAAGAAAAAAACAATTTTGATATTATTTTTTTTTTAAGCTTACTGGAATGACAATAATCTTATCGTTGTTCGTACTTATTTTGTCACATTCGAAGGACATGGGGTGTTGGATTGATGAAATGTTTTGCTTATACCATTTAAGAAACAACTATCGGGTTTTTGTCAAAATGGAATGTCAGTTCTATACCCAAATAGCAAAGTAAGGTTCATTTTCCCTCAGCAAAAACCTTTTAATGTAAACCTAAAAAGATTTGTTATGCGGCTTACGTGTAAACCTTCTAACCTTAAAACGAGTTCTGCTCTAATCCACACACATTACCCTAATCCAAAACCTTGGAAAACACGGTTCTATATAAAAACCTTAAATCGAGGTTGACTTAGGGTTTTCAAGCGTGAAAAAATCCTTTAATAAAGCTAGTCTCAAGGTGAAAATAATCTTAAATACAGGTAATTAAAAGGTTTCTTTTTGCTAAGTCTCGTTTGCTCAGCTGAAATAGAAGCACGAAAAAATCCTTTAATAAAGCTAGTCTCAAGGTGAAAATAATCTTAAATCTAGATAATTATAAGGTTTCTGTTTGCAAAGTCTTGTTTGATCAGCTAAAATCCACCTTGTCATGAAATTTTAAAGGATGATGCAATTTGATCCTATCGCTAGTGTGACGTCAGCTAGAACGTCACACCATTTTACATAAGTTACAATACTTTTTAAAAAATAATTTTTAATCCTTTTAGGATGAAAGGTTTGAAACAGCAATATTTTTGCTTCATTGTATAAAGGTTTTTAGTACAAACATTTTCGTGACAATAGAAAAAAAAATTCCGATGCAAGATTGTCGTAAGGTTACATGCTTTCTGGGATAGTTAGTTAGAGCGGGCCAAATTTCTATTAACGAGAAATAATATTTGATGAAAAAGTAAAAACATAAATTATAGTTTGTCAATCTAGTTTGATCACTTTAGCTGAGACAAAAATGGATTTGGATTGGCAATAAATTCCTTTGGGAGAGGAATCGTGCTTAACTTGTTATGACATGAAATTTACAACGTCACCAGAGCTCCAGTGGACATTTAAATGCTCTAGTTAGTTGGAAATGGGTCGAAATTCTATTTTTGAAATTCCACCGTAATAGACACAAAGGTATAAATGGAAACGTTATGCATAATATTAAGAGTAAAAAAGTTTATCTAGCAGCTTTTCCGATATATTTCCGATTGGAGAAGAAGTTTATCAATTTTAAAATATGACGCATTAAAATTCTTCAATATATTCAGAAGTTTCTAATTTTAAATAAGAGCTTGAATTTGTTACAACAAATCTAATAAAAAAAATCTTCACCTCATGATGATCATGATGCTGATCAGCTGCAGTAACTGCTATCAAAAGACAACTGAGGATAATCTGAAAAAAAGAAAAATCAGATTTAATATAAATATTTACTATACTTAATATTGAGCCGCGATGGTTCAGAAGATAGAGCAGCAAGATAGACGGTGGTAAACGGATTATGAGTTAGAGTCCCCTTACCGTCAAGCTGAACGTGGGAATTTTTCGTGGTTTTCCTCTCCATGTATTGCAAATGCGGGTAAGCTCCCTATACTAATTACTAAATTTCTCCCTATTCTATATCCAGGAGTTGCCTTGTCTTCTGGATTGGATTCAAAATTACAATGTTACGGAGTTGGATTTTAGTAGTCGTAAACCCAAATTTGGGACTGATATTCAACGACGGTTATAAAATGAAATAAAATACTTAATATGCTATCAGATTTACTATATAATATTTCTGTAATATAAGTTTATACTAATGATTTATTATAATACTAGGAGGCTTCGCCCCCTGCTCGCTGGTGCTCGCCAACTCCCGGAACTGCTTTCGCAGTTCATTTCGGATGGCTTCGCAATCCGATGCTCGCTTTACTCGCTCATTGGATACGTTCTTAACGTCTAGCTTTTGTATACTTTTTTGAACACTGAAGTTCCGAAAACTTTTCACTGTAGAAAATTCTANTACTTGATCTAGGAGTTCCCTTGTCTTCTGGATTGGGTTCAAAATTACAAAGCTATGGAGTTGAACATTAGTAGTCGTAAACGCAAATTTAGGTCGGCTGCTCAACGACGGTTATAAAATGAAATAAAATACTTAATACTCTATGAGGTTTACTATACATATCATATTTCAGTAATGTAAGGTTATACTAATGATTTATTGCAATGTATTTACTATAATGTATTTACTATAATGTATTTACTATAATGTATTTACTATAATGTATTTACTATAATGTATTTACTATAATGTATTTACTATAATAAGCTCAGCATTTAAGTACACTTTAACTTTAACAGAAGCTCGGCAATCCGTTTTCTAATTCTGATAGCAAATATCATTTAAAACTATTTTGGCACTCTTTTTAATGAAATGAAAATATAGCACACATTTTCTTACACGAAATCTTCACGAAAAAAGCACTCAAAATTAAAGGAAATATGAAGCAAAAAAGACATTTATAGAAACACTCGTCGGACGAGGTGCAGAAAATTAAGCATTAATCTAACAGCTATCAAATTCCAAAACCGTATCCTGATTTGTCTGGTCTCAGGAATTGAAATTATCACTCAATTTTTAGTATTTAATTCATACTTATTAAGCTTAACTGTATTTACAAATGTTTTATTTTATAACAGTAATCTAGTTCATATTCATAACCGTCGTTGTTAAACCAGACCCAATTTTATAAGCTTACCAACTACGTAGCCCTGTAATTTTGAGCCCAATCCAGAAGACAAAGGAAATCCTGGATTAAACAGTGGGAGAAATTTGCCTTCGCTAAGGACTTTTCGATGGAACAAACTCGCATTTGCATAACTTGAGCAGTATAACCGCGAACACTTCTTATGGTCATCCTGACGGCAAGGGGACTCTCACCCATGATCGTCTACCATTGATGGTATTTTACATTTGTGGTCGATGTAAGCCGGATGCGGAATTCTTATCAATCGGCCATAGCTGGGATTCAAACCCGGTTCACCTCATTGGAGGGCGAGTGTTCTATCCCCTGAGCTATCGCAGCTCGTATACCAATATTGTATACCAATATTGAACTCTTAAGAAAATCCCTCAAATTTTTCTAACAGATCAAAATAGTTTTTTCTCTACAAAGCGTACACTAACTTTTTCCAAGCTCTTTCTTTTTTTTTTCTAAAAAGAAATATTTGTTTCTAAGATGTTTTAAAGCTGTTCGGACATTCTTCCTATTCCCACCTTAATCAGCTATGGTATTCAAATCACGACTCGTCTACCATTGAGGATATTTTACATCAGCACTGAGGTCGGTGCTAGCCAGGTGTGGGATTCGTGTCGACCTTCCATTGTTAAGATTCGAAACCAGGTCACCGTATTGGTAGGCAATCGCTCTAACCTTTGAACCACCACGAATCAAGATAATTCTAATGGAATAAATGCCCTTTTCAACCTCTAAATGGAACCCTTTTCAACTTCTTAAGTTGGGTGTAAATGATTATTTAACTTTTTTATATCTATTTTAAAGCTTAAATGTATTTATAAATGCTTTTTTATAACATAAATCCTATTCAATAAGATATAGATAATTAAATAGTGAAAATTTCATTATTTTGGAAACACAGGACACACAATAATTATTTTGGAAAGAAAAAAAAAATGGTCATTGGTCAATTCTGTTTGCTGATTGCCTTCTTTTCAGTGAGTAGTAGAGTTTGCTTAAAACAGTTAACACTTTGCATGAAATTTAAAAAAAAATCGTTAATACCTCATTTCTTAATCATTAATATCCATAATCATTAATATCTTAATATTTAATACCTCATTTATTTGAAAATCCTAAATTTTTAAGTCAGTATCCAGCATTCAAACATCATAATTCTTTTTTGTAACTACAGAAATGCAAGGATCATTCATTTACCTTTTCATTTTATAACTGTCGTTGAACAGCCAACCCAATTTTGGGACTACGACCACTAATGTTCAACTACGTAGCCCTGTAATTTTAAACCCAATCCAGATGACAAGGGAACTCTTGGATCAAGTATCGAGAGAATTTTTGCCTTCGGGGAGAGCTTTTTTATGGAACTAGCCGGCATTTGCGTTACACGGTGAGGAAAGCCACGAAAACCTCCTCTGGTTAGCCTGACGGCAAGGGGACTTTAACGTATGATTCGTCTACCACTGATGATATTTTGCATTAGCACTGTGGTCAAACCGCTCTATCCCCTGAGCCAACACGGCTACAGTGCGACATTTATTACGTAGCCTTGTAATTTTGAACACGATCCAGAAGACAAGGGAACTCCTGAATCAAGTATCGAGAGAATTTTGCCTTAGTGCCTTTTAACTTTTTTATGGAACTAACCCGCATTTGCGCTGCACAGAGACGGAGACCACGAAACCCTCCCACGGTTAGTCCGACTACGAAGGGACATTAACACATGATCCATCTAACACGGAGGATATTTCACGCCAGCACAGAGGTCGGTACTAGCCAGATGCTGAAGTCGTATCGACCAGCCATCGCTGGGATTCGGACCCGGTTCATTGGGAGGCGAACACTCTATCCCCTGAGCCATCACGGTTCAGACTTTTTGTTAGTTTTTGTATATTAATAAAATTCAACATTACTTTTATTGTTGGGAGCAAGACATTTAGAAAGCCTTATAGCTCATGTCATTAGTCAGAAGGCTCTAGATATCTGAAAATGGGTGGGGGTGGGGGAAATCACGCAAAAAATTTTCTCTAAAAAAATCTAAGAAAAATAAAATCTTACCTTAGTCAACATTATGAGTAGCTCTATTTTGCTAGTTGTTAACGGAAATCGTTTATTGATAGTGAATGTTGTGAACTTATTGCACCCAAGAGCTTTTATATAAAACGCTTTCTAAAATTATGTTAAACAGTGTCAACATGCTTATTCTAATCAACATATTTACGGATCAGTAAACATCTAATTGATTTACTTTCACTGCCATTTCCGCCATTTTTCTCTCGTCGACACAAAAATGAAAATAACCCCGAAAAACATTCACCCCCAAGGGTAATTATAAACTAGAATAAAGGCTGTTTTATTTTTTATTATTTATAAATTCCACTGTATGTCAATAAAAGAAAGAAAAAACAGTTGATTGTGTAAAATTTCTTATTTTTGTTCTATTAAAGTCCAGTATTTCAATTACTATTACGTAATGAATTGTTCATAGTTCTGCATTCCAGGATTTCCAAAAAGGTTCCATTTTCTATGTAGCAGAAGTCTGGGGGTGGGACAATCCTTTGATATTCAAATAAATCCCTTTTTTTCAGAATACGACAAAAATGC